AGTGGGAAATTAAAGGGCAGCTACCAAAAGTAGGACAGGGTCTAGGGAAGGCTTACATGGCAGATGGCCACTATCTCCCTCATGGCTCTGTCCTCTGCTTAGTGTCCCGCACTGTCATTTCTGCCTCTTTATCAATACAAACACCATCTTAGTGCTGCTATACCCCAGCACAGAGAACAGTGTTCATCAAAAACTTCTTCAGTGAATGAGAGAGTTCGTGTCATATTGTGATGTCTTCTAAACACAGCCTGCGTAGTTTTCTAGAGCTGCTGTAACGAAGCACTACAGACTGGGTGGCTTACAACAGAAATTTATTCTCTCACGGCTCTGGAACCTAGAAGTTCAAACTCAACATGGCAGCAGGGCCATGCTCCCTCTGAGGCCTCTGGGGAAGAATTCTTTGTTGTCTCTTCCAGCTTCCAGGTTGCAGGCAATTCGTTGTCTTGCAGCTGCTTTGCTCCAGTCTCTGCCTCCACAGTCACATGGAGTTCTTCTCGCTGTGTGTCTCTGTGTCCAAATTTTTGTCTTCCTGTAACGACAACAGGCAATGGATTAGAGCCCACTCATCTTAACTTGATTATATCTGCAAAGGCTCTATTTCCAGGTGAGGGTGCAGTCACAGACATTAGGACTTGAACATATCTCTTTGGGGAAACACAATTCTATCCACCTTCCAGCATTTTTGCATCTGTATTAAGATTGACTAAAAGATGCTGCAGTTACACACACACCTCTAAGGCTCAGTGGTTCGTTGTGTAACGGTTTGTTTTCCACTTACAAAGTCAATAGCGTGTCTAGTTGCTTTCATTTTATGACTGCCAGATCAACACAGGGCTCCCATGGTTACCAAGGCAGGGCAGAGAGATTTACAGGAGTGCACAGGGGCCCTGGAGCATATTACATGTGCTCACCAAAAAGCCCGTTATCATCAGATACTGCCTGTTCTCTCCTAATCCCCTGGGCGGGCCCTGGTTGTTACTGGAAAGGGATCCCAATCCAGACCCCAAGCGAGGCTTCTTGGATCTCGCACAAGAAGGAATTTGAGGTGAGTCCGTGGAGTAACGTGAAAGCAAGTTTATTAAGAAAGTAAGGGAATAGGCCAGGTGCGGTTGCTCACGCCTGTAATCCCAGCACTTTGGGAGGTCGAGGCAGACAGCTCATTTGAGGTCGGGAGTTAGAGACCAGCCGGACCAACATGAAGAAACCCCGTCTCTACTAAAAATGCAAAATTAACCTGGGCATGGTGGCACATGCCTGTAATCCCAGCTACTCGGGAGGCCAAGGCAGGAGAATCACTTGAACCTGGGAGGCAGAGGTTGCAGTGAGCTGAGATCACGCCATTGCACTCCAGCCTAGGTAACAAGAGCAAAACGCCGTCTCAAAAAAGAAAAAAGAGGGAATAAAAGAATTGGCTATTCCATAGACAGAGCAGCCCCAAGAGCTGCTGGTTGCCCATTTTTATGGTTATTTCTTGATCATATCCTAATCAAGGGGTAAATTATTCGTGCCTCCCCCTTTTAGACCATATACGGTAAGTTCCTGACGTTGCCATGGCATCTGTCAACTGTCATGGCGGCGGTGGGAGCACTGCAGTAAGGCTGACCAGAGATTTTTCTCATCATCATCTTGGTTTTGGTGGGTCTTGGCCAGCTTCTTTACTGCAGCCTGTTTTATCAGCAAGGTCTTTATGACCTGTATCTTGTGCCAACCTCCTATCTCGTTTTGTGATTAGGAATGTCTTAACTTACTGGAAATGCAGGCCAGCAGGTCTTAGCCTTATTTTTCCTAACTCCTATTCAAAATGGAGTTGCTCTGGTTCCAGTGCCTCTGACATAGCCACTGCTGGGCACAGAAGCCTCTCTCTCACTGAGTGCTCTCTCTTTTCTGCAGCCATTGCCATCTCTGAATGGTCACCAAGGTCTTACACTGGAAATCGATGCCCTAAGAATGCAAAAACCACAGAGGCTCTGAAGAGGTGCAGTCCAAGCTGCCCTCTGCCACATGAGCCCCAAAGCTGTGTTATGTAGATCCCAAAGACTTCAGAAAAGGTTAAAACTCAAATTGGGCAAGTGTAAGTGAGTAACACCTAGTGAAGGGAGCCACATGCAAGGCAAGGCAATAGAGAGTGGTGAGGACTGTGGCAAACTGAAGTATGTGCCTCATCTAAAAGGAGCATCCACTACTCGGCTTCGGCAAATTATTGCCACATGGAAACTGGCATCCAGTATTGCCAGATCTTAGGGAAATCTTTTTTAAAAAAAGAACACCACAAAGTCAGATTTTTACATGAAGTTTCCCAAATTTCAAAATGCTGTTCATGCTGGATTCAGCCCACAGGCCACGAGTTTGCAACCCATGCTTTAGTGAGACAACTTTTTCCATTTTCACTCTTAGTGCTCCAACTTGGCTCTCTGGTTATCCACAGGATGTGGACATGAGCCCAGTGGGGCTGGGCCAGGAGGCAATCCCCCTCCCCAGCCAACTTCAGTCTGGCCCTCTCCAGAACAGCTGAGGTTTCTCACTGGGTCAGGCTGAAGGGCCTGGCTCCCTCCTATGGGGCAAAGTCCCTCCCAAGAGTCTCCTTTTAAACTGACTTGGCAAGCCCGCAGCACACACCCACCAGGCAAGATTGAACTTGTCTGAAGCCCATTGAGACCCAAGCCGCAGAGGCTTTTCCAGCCGTGATGATCACGACTCATAACCGTGACCTCCAATTCTCTCCACAAACATATTGCTCCTGACTCTTTTGGCCCCTCACCTTGCTTCTCAAACTGTTCCCTGTTGACCCTCAGTCCTGTCTGCCCCCTTCCTAGGCTGGTCCTTACTGACCCCTCCAGCTGCATCCCCTCACCCTGTGCCCCACCTTTTTCAGATAGATAAAACTTCCTTCTCCAGTGCCTTTTACAGTTTTTCGTCTCTGGGCCATTGTCTTTGTTCCCTAGATTGGGCCTAAAACATCTCCTATATTCCCCACCCAGCCCTCCACCTCTTTAGCTCTTCAGGTTTCAGCTCAGAAGTCACTTCTTCCAGGAAGCCTTCCCTGATTGTCTTTACTAGTTTAGGGGCTGAAGTTAGGTGTTCCCAACAGCCTACTGGAGTTTCCCATCACAGATTATCTCTTAATTGTCTTTCCTGAGAGAGGGAGAGGACATTCCTCAGAGCTGGGTGTCACGGGGAGAACCTCAAAATTGGGATTCAGCCTGAGAGGCCACATGGATTCTTGGCTGGCTTCTTGGCACAGGGAAGAATTCAAGAGTGAGTGGAGAGTTCCTGAAACTGAGGACTACTCCCCTTTTTAGACCATAAAGGGTAAACTTCCTCATATTGCCATGGCATTTATAAACTGCCATGGCACTGGTGGGTGCAGGGTCCAGCCCCGCAGGGTCTAGTGTGTGTTCTTATGTGTGCAGAGATGATAGATCGTAGGAAAGAAAGATACAAGATGCAGGGATAAGAGAAGGACTCAGCTGGGCCCGGGGACCACTGCTACCAAGGGCGGAGTCCAGTATTGGCCCCGAATGCCTGGACACACTGATATTTATTGTACACAGGGCAGGGGGCAGGGTAAGGAGAGTGAATCATCTGACATGATGGATAGGGTCAAGCAAATCACGTGCTTACAGTACAGGGCCCCCCCACCCCTCAGGGAGGCGCTGCAAGGAGGAGAGGCACTTAGGTCAGCATCTCTCTATGCATTTATCAGAAAGATCAAAGGCTTTTAGGATTCCTCTATTCTTACTTCTCACGACTTCTAAGAACTTAAAAAGAGCACCGGGTGAGAAAGCAGAACATGAAAGTGGACAAGGATGGTGACCGCCGGAGCACAGCACCACAGAGAGACATTTAAGCCCCTGGATGTCTGCGGGCAGGCCTGGCTAATGTCAGGCCTTCCTCAAGAGCCGGGCAGAGCAGTGTTCCCTGGACTCCCAGTGAAAGGGAAACTCCCCTTCACGGCCTGCTAAGTAACGGGCACCTTCCCAGGCGCTGGCGTTACCGCAAGGCCAGCCTGCTAAGTAACGGGCACCTTCCCAGGCGCTGGCGTTACGGCAAGGCTCTCACTCTGGCCTCCTGATCAGTCTCACAGGTCCCTTCAGTTCCTAACTATATATCACCTGGTTGTTTCTATACTGTAAGACTAGAATGTTTTTATGCTATAATACTAAAGCAAAGATTCATAAAGAATAATTTAATAAGATTGATTATGTAATTGATTATGATTGATTATGTGACTGTTTCTAAATATATTTGGTATCATTGCTAAAACTAGGTATACGGGGACAGCTTGTGCCTTCAGTCTTTCGGCTTGGCACCTGCGCAACTTTCTTCCCACAGGCGGGTGCTTCCTTTAACATGCTAATGCATTATAATTAGCATACATTGAGCAGTGAGGATGACCAGAGGTGGCTTTCTTTGCCATCTCGATTTTGGCTGGCTTCTTCACTGCATCCTGTTTTATCCGTGGGGTCTGTGTGACCTCTCTCTTATGAAAGCAGTCTTGACCAATTTCTATCTCATCCTGTGACTAAGAATGCCGGCCCTCAGCAAGTCTCAGCCTCCTACCCAGCTCCCTGTTCAAGATGGAGTCGCTCTGGTTCAGACGCCTCTGACACGGGGCCCATGACTGCTCTATTTGCCAAGGTGTATCTAGCATGTAGCACTATGCTCAGGCCAAGTTAAAGCTTACACATTTGCAGAAGGAAAGAGGTAAGGAAGCAACCTGGGACCTTCCACTGTCTCTATTTCCGTCTCTCTCTCTCTCTCTCTCTCTTTCCATCTCTGTTCATCTCACTCCTCTCTATCTCCATCTCTAAATATCTAAAATTTCTGTCTCTGACTGTCTATCAACGTGACTGATCATCTGTTTCTGACCATTCCTTCCCGTTCCTGACCCCAGGGAGCGCAGGGTGTCCTGGCCCAGCCGGCGTCTCTCCAACCTCAGAGTACCACCACTCTCTAACCTCAGGAAGTCAGGGGCCTAGAGCGACAGCGCCAGATGTTTCCCAGCAGGGGGGTCTGAGGCTGTGCGCCCAGATTGCGAGAAAGGGAAGTGGGGTGGCGAGGTCGTGCACTGAGGGTAGACGCGGAGGCCAGGAGTAGCAGGCGGTGGGGGAAACGAAGTGGAGAAAGGAAAAAAGGAAAGAGGAGCGAGAGTAGGGGGTGGGGCAGAGAGGGCGGATCCGAGTGCGCCCTCCGCCTCCAGCCCCCACACTGCCAGCTCCCTCCCAGCCCAGCCGGCTACATCTGGCGGCTGCCCTCCTTTGTTTCCGCTGCTTCCAGACTTCTCCGGTGGTGGCTGGAGACTGCGCATCTGGGGCTTTAAACATACAAAGGGATTGCCAGGACCTGCGGCGCCGGCGGCGGCGGGGGCTGGGGCGCGAGGGCTGGACCATGAGCCGCTGAGCCAGGCAAAGCACAGGAGACGGACCCAGAGGACCCTCGGAGCGCAGCCCTGCGCCACGGAATAGGCTGCAACCAGGCGGCGTCGCGGCTGCACGCACCGAGCCAGCGACCCCCGGGCGACGCGCGGGGCCCGGGAGCGCAACGATGGAGGCGCTAAAGGCCCAGGGCGCGCTCGCGGGTCCCCTGAGGACGCTCTGCCTCCTGGGCTGCCTGCTGGGCCACGCCGCCGCCCCGCCGTCGCCCATCATCAAGTTCCCTGGCGATGTCGCCCCAAAAACGGACAAAGAGTTGGCAGTGGTGAGTTGCTGCGCTGGCCTCAAGGAACCAAGTTTAGACAAACTCCGGGGGCAAAGGATGGGGGTGTCTCTCCCCCTGCCCTCGGCAGCGGTCCCACACACAGCGTGAGGGAGGGGCTTCCGTAAACAGTTTGCGGGGCGGGGGGGTCTTTGGCAAGCTGTTGGAATGATCTCTTGCAAACGGTGAGGGATTTTTTGTAAGCAGAGCAGACCTTTAATAAACAATTTGGCAACCTTCAGGATACAGCAGCGGGGCGAGAAACAAGCCAGAGTGGAAGAGGGGTCACCCGGCTAACTACTGGCAAGGGATTCTTATGTAAATGGAGGGACCACCTCCTCTAGTGAATGGGGCGTTTGGCTAGGGGGTTCGGGCTTTGTAAACAACTTTTGGACATATCTGGGCAGTTGCTAAGGGCTCTCGTTAAGCATCTTGGTAGGCCTTTGGGAAACAGCTAAAGGGCTGTTGTTTTGTTTGTTTTGTGTATGTGTGTTTCTAATAGAGGACTTTGGGAACGAATGGGGCGCTCTGGCACATAATTTGGGTAAACTTTTGCATAAAGATGGGAAGGAGCTTGGCCAAAGCGAAGCTTGGCAAACTTCTAGGAACCTTTGGCACACATCTGGAGAGGGGCCTTTAAATAAACAGCTGGAAGGGGCCATTTGAGAAGTGCTTGGGGCAGGAGGGAAGCAGAGAACACATCTTTTTCGCCGGGCTTAATGGACAAGTTGGTCAAGGGTTAGGCCTCGGAAAGTTTCCTCGAACTTCTCCAAAGGGGTCGGAGGAAGGAAGGAGAGAGCTGCCTAGGCAGGAGGGAGGGGGAGGGGAGCAGGCGCAGGAGGGACCGGCGCGTGGGGCGGGGGCGGACTGCGCTACCTTCTGCGGCCAGCGAGCCCTACTTCCTGGTTCGGCTCCCAAAAACGCGGTTCAGATGTTGTCTTGTGAGCGTGCGCGCGCCTGGCTGGAGGGGCACTCTGGCCTCCTTGTTGCATAAGTAGAGCCTAAGGAGAGAGGCAAGCCAGGGACCCTTCAAGATGTCCTTTCCAGCCCAGGGGATATCTGTCCCTTGCTACCTCAGCCACCCTGCCCTCCAGGCTCCCCCTCAACCTGTCCGGGACTCCCGTGCCCTGTGGTCACTCCAGAAACTCCTTCAGGAGGTGACACCTACCCTTTCCCAACTCCCACCCTTTCCAAGCCGCTGGGTCTCAGCCCCCCCTGAACAGATGGGTCGGGAGACCTCCGCACATGTTTAGAGGGCTACTTTTTTCAAGGGTCTGGAGCTGGCTGGCACAATGATGTCGCCGTCGGGTGGGGGTGAGAGTGGAGTTTTGGGACAATGACAAAGCTACTTGGGTTCCTACAACTTTTCCAGCCAATGGGTCATAGGATGAACCTTCAAACTGGGGTTCAGCCTAAGGGGCCACATGGGTTCTTGGCTTCACACAGGAAGGGATTCAAGAGCGAGCCAACAGAATAAAATGAAAACACATTTATTAAGAAAGGAAAGGAATAAAAGGGTGGTTATTCCATAGGCAGAGCAGGGATGGGCTGCTTGACTGAGTATACACACTGTTATTTCTTGATTAGATGCTAAACAAGGGGTGGATTATTTATAAGTTTTCCGGAAAAGGGGGAGGATTTCCTGGAACTAAGGGTTCTTCTCCCTCTTAGACCCTATAGGGTAACTTCTTGATGTTGCTATGGCATTTATAAACTGTCATGGCATGGGTGGGGAGCCTCTAATGTATTTAGCATGCTAATACATTATAATTAGCATATAATGAGCACTGAGGACAACCAGAGGTCACTTTCATTGCTGTCTTGGTTTGGGTGGGCTTCGTCCAACTTCTTTACTGTGTCTTGTTTTATCATTGGGGTCTTTGTGACTTACATGTTGTGAAATCAGTCATGCCGATCCCATCTCATTTTGCGACTAAGAATGCCTGCTTTCCTGGGAATCCAGCACAGCAGGTCTCAGCCTCATCTTACCCAGCCCCTACTCAAGATGGGGGTACTCTAGTTTGAACACCCGACAAATGGAAGTCTTTGTGTCAAGAGGTAATGCTATGGAGGCTTAGGAAGCTAGCTCTCGACTGAGATCGCTTGGTTTCAAATCAGAGAGTACATGAACCAACCAGCAGGCCTAGTGATGATCTTGGACAAGTGACTTAACTTCTCAGTTTCTTCATCTGCAAACTGAGAAATTTCCTATCTCAGGGTTAAAGGAGAGGGAATCTTAGGTGCTCACCTAGCATGTAGTCAGTACTCAATAAGCCTTAGCCGTTATTCCTATTATATTATTATTGTTGTTACATCCTCGATTTCCTTTTTCCTAAAGACTTCCAACAAGGCTAGGACCATTGTCTGAAGGTCTCCTGGCTGCTTTCATCATTCCAACACAGCCCTTATCACATACTTCGTTTTGCTTTTATTTGTGAGCTGTCGGCCTCCCCGCTAGGGTTTGAGCCTTACAGACAGAACCAAGAACCATGTATCCTCACCGGTTTATCCTCAGCAGTAGCACAGGGCGTGGTACATGGTAGGTGATCAAAACTGTTTGTTGAGTAAGTAAATGAGTCGATTGTTCCCGGAACCTCTGCAAGGACCTGCTCGGTTTTGGCCTCAGTTTGGGCAGGGCCAGTTGTATGGCACCTGAAGGACAGGATTCCTTTCTTTTTGCAAATGGCCGATTCAGGATTTGAACCCAAGTCTGTCTGCTGCCAGAACCCATGCATGTAGTCCTTGAATCACTTTATAAGAAAAAAGTAGGAAAAAAGCCCCTAAGTCTCCAGCTGTGAGGCAGATAAATGAGTTGATAGAGGTAAAGGAAGGATGCTGGAGTATCAAGTGTCCCGTCACAGGCTCTGGAGTCAGATTGCTTTGTCCCAAATCCAGATCTACCATTTGTGAACTGTGTGATCTTAAGCAAGTTTCTTAACTTCTCTGTGCTTCAGTTTCCTCCTCCATATAATGAGGATAGTATATCCACATGATAGAATATGTGAGTTCACATATTCTGACTTTAGCGCCTGGCATATAGCCAGCACCCAGCACTAACAAGTGGTAGCCATGCTCTCTGTAGCCGTATGCCCTGTCACTCAACTAATGTGTGACCGTGCTGGTTTTGGGAACCCAGTACTCCACCCAGTGCTCTGGGACCCCTGGCTTATATCCCGTCTAGACTATGGAACTCAGTCTGGGGGCTGATTGCTACAGCCTGCTTTGGTCAATACTATGCCATCCTTTCAGCAATACCTGAACACCTTCTACGGCTGCCCCAAAGAGAGTTGCAACCTGTTCGTGCTGAAGGACACGCTGAAGAAGATGCAGAAGTTCTTTGGACTGCCCCAGACAGGCGATCTTGACCAGAACACCATTGAGACCATGCGGAAGCCGCGCTGCGGCAACCCAGATGTGGCCAACTACAACTTCTTCCCCAACAAGCCCAAGTGGGACAAGAACCAGATCACATACAGGTGCCGGGGCTGGGCTTGGGGAGGCAGGGCCATTGGGCTGAGGGACACGAGTCTCCCTGAGCCATGCATTCTCTCCACTCGGGGACCCATGAGGAGTCTTTTGTGAGGGCTTTGCATCTTAGGGAGTTTCAATACACAATTCTTAGAAAATGAAGGCGGACAGACCTGAACTTACATTTCATACTTGCTAGCCAGGAGGCACTGGGTTACTTTTCGATGCTGTGAATGTTGGCTTTCCAGTCTATATAATGGGGCTTAAAAATGCCCTTCCTCATAGGGTTGGTTGGGGAACTAAGCTAGACTAAACTAATATAAATGGCTTCTATGATGTTTGACAGAGCAAGAGTGTAGTAATGCTGGTGATTGTTACTATTTTTGGATAAGATCACTGGGATGGGCAGAAGGAACGTGATCACTGGTTGCTAATTGGGAGTTTAGCAGCCCAAGAGGTTTATCATTGGTTGATAATTGGGCCAATAGCTGTGTTCTGTATGGCTGCTGCTGGGTTCTAATGGTGAGATCTTTGCCCTGTGCCCCATAAGGCACTAGTTATGGCCTTCCCCCCACTGGCCAGGGTGAGAGATGGGACTCCTGAGTCAGGGCCTGAAAATGTTGGCTGGTCTGGGACTCCCTGGGTCTTCAAGGCATTCTGGGAAAGTTGTTCTTGGCAGTGACCCCCACTCAACCTGCTAACACATACATGTAGGCACGTGCTCACATACTTCTGTGCCGTTCCCATGCATATGCATATACTTGTATGTTTGCATACACACACACTCAAACTTTTTCACATATCTGTGCACAGACACATATTTGTATATACACACAATTATGCACATACATACACACTCACATGCATTTCTACCACCTCCAGGATCCTTGGCTACACACCCGATCTGGACCCAGAGACGGTGGATGATGCCTTCGCTCGTGCCTTCCAAGTCTGGAGTGATGTGACCCCCCTGCGGTTTTCACGAATCCATGATGGAGAGGCAGACATCATGATCAACTTCGGCCGCTGGGGTAGGCAAAAGAGAGGGTGGAAGAGTGGCCAGCAGGGATGAGTATCGAGACAAAGGGGCAAGATGGACATTAGAGGGGCATGGGGATCCTGAGGGCAGCTTAGATAGGAGAGTAGCTGGTGTAGACCCTGGGGGTGGTTTAGATAGGAAGAGCACAACATGGAGTGGGCACTGGAGAGTCACGTGGACATGGGGGCAGATGCTGTGCTGTGGTGTAACCTGGAGGCCATGTAAACCTGAAGCAAGTGGTCTACTGTGATGTCCAATATGGTAGCCATTGGGTATAATATATATGGCTATTTAAATTTAAGTTCTTTAAAAATTTAAAATTGGTTTCCTGGTAACTCTGGGCACATTCCAAGTGCTCAAAAGGCACATGAGGTTAGTGGCTATTGATTTTGGACAGCACAGACAAAGAATATTCCTCTAATACAAAAAGTTCTGTTGGACGCTGCTGGTAGACACTGAGGAACCATAGAGACAGGAGAGTGATTTGAAAACAGTGGAGCAGCACAGATACGAGAGTAAGGGTCACAGAAACCGGGGGCAGGTGGCCATTTGAGTTTATGATGTGAACACTGGCAGCAGCGCAGACAGAAAGGTAGGTGGTGTAGACACTGAGTGGTAAGTGATGAAGGTAAGGAGCGTGGGAAACAGTGTAGGCAAGTGAGTGAGTGTTGCATGACAAGGTGGGCATGAGGATTCGTGTTGTAGATATTGGTAACAGTGTGACATGAAGGCAAGAGTGTGGTTAAGAGGGCAGTATTGACAGGAGGGTGGATGGCATAGACATTGGGGATGATGAGGGTAAGGGGTGAGGACACCAGTGTGGCAATGTGAGTATGTGGTAGATATAGTGTCACGGTGGTAGTGTAGACAATGAAGGTAGGGGATATGGAGACTGGGAGTCATGTAAACCTGGGAGAGCAGTGTAGACCATAGGATGGTAACAACGAGGTCAGCAGATCTCCACTGAGCCCCTGTGTTTCCGGTCCTGGATAACCCTACTGGGATGAGGGAAGGGGCAGATGCTGGGTGGACTGACAGGCCTCACACGTAGATGGGGTGTGGAGGGGTCTAGTTGGCACAGCCAGAAGCTAAGACCCGGTGTGTGTTTCAGAACATGGCGACGGATACCCCTTTGATGGTAAGGATGGACTCCTGGCTCATGCTTTCTCCCCAAGCCCTGGTATTGGGGGAGACTCCCACTTTGATGACGATGAGCTGTGGACCTTGGGAGAAGGGCAAGGTGAGCTGTCCCCTAGCAGCAAGAGCTGTGGCCTCCCTGGCAACCCTGGGCACCTCCACCCACTCCATCTGCTTAGACCTGAGAGGTGGGAGGGGAGGAAACTCACATGCCTGGGTGCGTCATAATCTTGCTCTCCAAAGAAGGCCTGGAGAAGCCCAACCTCCCCCTTCCATCTTGCCCTTTAGTGGTCCGTGTGAAGTACGGGAATGCCGATGGGGAGTACTGCAAGTTCCCCTTCCTGTTCAGTGGCAAGGAGTACAACAGCTGCACTGACATAGGCCGCAGCGACGGCTTCCTCTGGTGCTCCACCACCTACAACTTTGAGAAGGACGGCAAGTACGGCTTCTGTCCCCACGAAGGTGAGCATCCACTCTAGCCCTCAAGACTTTCCACCCCAAGCCTCCAGTTTCCTCAGCTCTCCACTGTGCTCTGCCCTCCACATTCTCCAAGACTGGCTGCCACTGCCAGCCAAGGAGCATCTCCCCACCTTCCTTCACTCAGTTTCCCCATCCTGATCTGAGCCATTGCTGTTTCTCTTCCACCAGTGCCATGGTGAATGTAATTCTTTAATTAAATCAAGTTAATAGTATTTTTTAAAGTTTCCCCATTAGTAATCATACTTATGGAGTCAACAGATTTAATTTGCTAATTATTTATTTCTAACCTGTATTGGAGTGAACTTAGAACTATTAAAATGCCCAGTGGTTCTCTCTAGAACCAATCTTTACACTTCAAGAATGATAGTTCAAGGGCATGAGGAACAGCCTGCTGGTAACTGGAAACCCAGCAGTGTGATAGGGAGGCAGGACTCAGACCAAGGCCAGACCCAATTTGGTTTGGGGACTTCAACCCCAGGAATTTCAGCTATTGCTCCGGCCTTGGTCCTGATGCTGCCTCTGCTAATGCGTGCATGTGTGTGTGTGTGTGTGTACATGAGTGTGTGTGTGAGTCAGTGTGTGTGTGTGCGTGCGTGCATGTGTGTGTCAGTGTGTGTGTGCGTGCGTGCATGCATGTGTGTGTACATGAGTGTGTGTGTCTGTGTGCATGTGTGTGTGTGCGTGCATGCATGTGTGCATGTGTGTGCATGCATGCGTACCTGTGTATGTACATGAGTGTGTGTGTGAGTCAGTGTGTGTGCGCGTGCGTGTGTGTGTGCGTGCATGTGTCTGGGCACAGGGGCTATGCCATCTGCCTGTCTTGGACACTGTCTTTTTCTGCCTCTGGTCTAGCTTGTGTCTGCATCTCTGTGTCTTAATAAAGATGTTAGGCTTGACTCAGTATTTGTGTGTGTGTGCTTGTCAGTGCCTAAGACACAAAATTTTCAGAGATTTTGAAGCTACATGGGGGAAACCTTTTAAAAAGGTGTGCAGATATTGACATATGCACTCAATCCTTTTTAAAAAATCTTTGACACACTTTATAGTCATAAACCACAAAAAGACCGTGTGTATGTAACTTCATATTCTATGAAGTCATCATGTTTGATAATTCTGGAGATTGAAAGCCCAGAAAACCTGGGAAAAATGGAAACAAGTTAAAAATTTTTCTAAACACTATCTTCTTTTCCATCTCACAAAGACTCTTTAGTCTACCTAGACTAAGGACTGTCTTTTTGTCTGTAATTTTACGTCTGTGAGTCTCCCTAACCCCATTGTAACTTAACACTAGGCATTATCTTGACAGAATGAACGAAACAAAGAGCTAGTTAATTGCCTTCCTGTTTACACTTTTATTACCAGAGCTAAACTTTATATTAAGTAAGAGTTCAAGCCATTCACCATTAATAAGTCAGAAATTTTGAAATAAAAATATTTTCTGTGTCTTGTGTTTCCCAGTAGGGATTACATGTGGCATTAACCTTTCCCTGTGTCACCCCTCTGATAGGAACAGCATTCTTTGATGATAGAAGTGGAAACAGCTGTATTTCATAAGTTTGGGAAGGGTTATTCCCTGCATTGGACATTAGCCATTTACTTTGTGCTTAGCCAGATGCAAGTACACACAACACACGTGTCTGGGTCTTGAGGCAGAGGTTCTTGTTACTCAGCCCCTGCTGACTGCTGAGTCAGTGTCTGTTCTCGCCGTCCTTGTCGGGTAGATTTGGGAGGAGACGGGGGCTTCCTGGGTGGAAGAAATCGGCTGATCGGAGGTCAGAGGCAGGGGGCTGGCATTGGTCTAAGTTAACACTTTGCCTTTCTCAACTCTGAGGCCACAAAGGTATCTGGACTCTGTCTTGCCTTTTCTCTAGGTGCCATTGTTTCTGGCATTGCAGGACATGGTCTTTTGGTAGAGAGGGGAGCAGTGAGGATACAGAGCTCCAAGTTCTGTGGTGGGAGGCCCGGGACTGGGCTCCATTCTGGCCATGGTGGAGTTAATGGGGGCTGATGAGGTCACCTCTGGCGCTGTTGTACACAGATGGTCCTTGTTACGGACTTGTGGTTTTGCTGGTTGGCAATTCCAGAGACACACCATATTTTAGCTTTGGGTGGATGAGGGGAGGAGAGGGAGAATCCAAGACAGACAGGCCAGGCTCTGAACCCCGCTCCCTCCCACAGCTCTCCAGCCATGGCCCCTGTCTTGGGATGTCAAAGTAAGACCTCAGAATGTTTAGTAAAAGGTACCTGAAGGCACCACCTCCTTCTCCCTCCCTCCTCCTCTTCTCTCTTTCTCTCCCGCCCACAGGGACTGCAACAAGGCCATCCAGGAAGGGGCCTGGGGTTGACAGGAGGTAAAGCTTTCTTTCTGTGCATGTGTATGCACACACACACACATACATGCCTGAGAGTGACAGAGAGACTGAGCAAGAGAGATTGAGATTCGTGTGTTTTACAGTTTTTAGTTCCAACCTTCACTCACTTTCATTTATGTGACCCTGAGCAGTTTGAGAACCAGCTTTGTCTTAGCCTTGATTTCTCCATCTATCAAATGGAGAGAGACTCTTGTGGCCCTGCCTGCCATGACTGACATATTCATGTCATATATCATTATTACATGAAATTTGCATGATATAGGCATGGACCAGGCAGAGTGGACAGTGACCTTGGGGCTGAGGCAGGGTTCTAGAAGCCCTTGTTGTGTACTAGGTGTCAACCATTTTGTTGTTGGGTGGTCCATGAAGTCCCAGGGGAGGGATTGGATTAACCAGGGAAGCAGGGATTCTCTCTGGGAGCTCAGAGAAGCAGCTCCTTACCAACCAGTAGAGATGTTGTCTTAATATTTTAACAATGCACCAACTTTAATGGTGTGAACCGGCAGGTGGGCAGCCAGCCAGCCCTATGCTGATGGAGGCATCTCTCATTCACATCCATCTCTCTCTCCCCCACCCCTAGCCCTGTTCACCATGGGCGGCAACGCTGAAGGACAGCCCTGCAAGTTCCCATTCCGTTTCCAGGGCACATCGTATAACAGCTGCACCACTGAGGGCCGTACGGATGGCTACCGCTGGTGCGGCACCACTGAGGACTACGATCGTGACAAGAAGTATGGCTTCTGCCCTGAGACTGGTGGGTGCCACTGCCTCTCCCTCCATCAGGGCCTAGCACCAGCTGTCTGATGAAAAACCCACAAGACTCCCTGTGCCAACCTCCTTTCCCCAAGATAGGGGTGCTAAGGCATCTGTGCCAATGATCCACACCCAGGACATCCGTGCAGCTAGTCAGGATAAATGACACCTGGTGTGGCCTGGGCACTGAAATCAGAACAGACAGTGGGCGTCAACAGCTGAGGGTGACACCTAAATGTCAGGCCTACTCAGGACCCTCTGACCGACCTGCATTCCTTTTCTCTCAGGCTCTCTGATGGATGCTTCTCTCTCCTCCTCTCTGACCTTGCAGTCTCTCTTCCTGGTCCAGTTGCTCCTGGTCTGTATCTCCTCCTTTTAATCTGTTTTTTATTAAGAGCTCCCTGCTTTCCTCTCTGTTCCCTTCCTTTCCTCCTCTCCATCCCTCCCTCCTTTCCTTCTTTCCTTCCTCCAACGGGTATTTACTGAGTGCCTGCTTTGTGTTGGTCTTTGTAGAGCCCTACCCAGAGGGCTCACCACTGAGGGGCATGTGCTGGTGCTATCAGCTTCATCCAGCCCCCTTTGCCCCTAACCCGTCTGCCACCTCCATGGGAGGCTCATTAGAACTCTGAAACCTGGCTGCCAGGGTTTGAATTGCAGCTCTGATACTTCCTAGCAGTGTTGGCTCAGGGAAATTTCATCATCTCTCTGATCTCCAGTTTCCCATCCATGAAACTGCGGGTGCCATTCGGTCCCTCCTGCACAGGGCTGTTGCCAGGGGGCAGGATGAGATGATTCTAAAGATTCAGGGCCTGGGACTGAGTTTACCTTAAGTGTGGTTTGTTAAGGTCACTTTCATGCCACTGTTACCTGGGTAACCTCAGACTCTTTGCTGCTCCTTCACCCATATCCCTAACCCCACAGCCATGTCCACTGTTGGTGGGAACTCAGAAGGTGCCCCCTGTGTCTTCCCCTTCACCTTCCTGGGCAATAAGTATGAGAGCTGCACCAGCGCCGGCCGCAGTGATGGAAAGATGTGGTGTGCAACCACAGCCAGCTACGACGACGACCGCAAGTGGGGCTTCTGCCCCGACCAAGGTACGAGGCTCTGGCCATTGGACAGAGACCCTGGACATTGCCCTCATCCCTAAACCTGCGCCAAAAACCTCTCTGAGACCTCACCCACTTCAAGCATAGACACTGCCCCCGAGACACTCACCTGCCCTGATAGGGACCCTGTGGTCTCTCCCAGACCCGCCCACCTGGGCTGAGCTAATGCCCATCTCTGGTGGAGGCACAGCCTCCAAGACCAGACCCTGGTAGACCAGATGCTGCTACCTGCCTCCCGGGTAAGATCCGGCCCTCCTGAGGGGTCACTGCTCTTCCCTTCCCCTTTAGTCACCCTCCAGGCAGGGTTGTGACTACCAAGAAATGTCTGAGTCCTGAGCACAGGTTACCAGAGAGACGATTCTTCTAAGAGACCTTCCTACTGCACAAAGAGGGGCCTTCAAGGAGCTGATGGGCAGCAGAAGAAAGGGAAAAAGGAACAGCTTCATGCTTGAGCTGACCCCACAGTCCATGCTGCCCTGGGGGAGCCCCCAGAGCCTTCTCTCCCCCATCAGTCAGCATTATCTGTTACCAGGGTGTAAATGGTGGGTCCTCATCAGTCCGGGGTTCTGAGGATGCAGCTGGCTGGGACAGCTCTCTGCCCCTAGGACTCACAAGCTCAGGGGAGAGAGTGACCAGCAGACAGCTTGTGACCTTACTGTGTGCTCCATGCGGTGAGCAGGGTGTTTAGGGCCCTGTGTCCACTCCAGACTTCAGGGCCCAGGGTTACAGGGCTTAAGGCTCCCTGATGGCTCACAATGGCCAGGTCAGTGGGCAGGTCCAGGGCCAGTCAGAATTAGGCCAGCCTGTCTTTATGTTACTTTCATTCTTTTTCATCATTATGAGATGAAACTTGGCCCATGTCAGTGGACAGAGGTTGGCCAAAGGAGGTTTTCTTATCCCCTGCTAAATTCCTTCCTAGGACACATTCTGATTTTACCAACCTTCTACCTAAAGTTGGGATTCTCCATCTGGCTGAGTGGTTCAAGGATCCAGAGCTCAGTGGCTCACCTAGGGTGAATGTTATTGTCTCCTAGGGTTGCCATGACAAAGTGCCACAAACTGTTGGCTTGAAACAAACCCAATGTATTATTTCATGTTTCTGGAGGCTGGAAGTCTAAAATTAGGGTGCCAGTAGGGCCAGGTTCCCTCTGAAGGATGCGTCCCTCCAGTCTCTGCCTCTGTCATGACATGGCCTTCTTCCTCCTCTGCCTGTCTCTCCTCTTATAAGGTCACAAGCCATATTGGATTAAGGGCCCACTGTAGTCCAATCTGACCACATTGTAACTTGTATCTTAATAACATGTGCAAAGACCTTATTTCCAAATAAGATTCCATTCACAGGTCCCTAGGGTTAAGACTTGGGCAAATCTTTTCTGGGGGGGATGCGTTTAACCATAACAGGATGTGACACCTGCTGTGTGACAGGTGTGACAGGTCTTGCTCACTGGCTGTGGCTCAGCCTGGGCAACCACGCTAAGTGCGAGTGGTTTTTACTGCTTTTGCTTGGGCAGAAATGGTGGTAATATGGGACCAGCTGATCCCCACTCTCTTACCTCTTCAGAGAGCCTGAGGAGCGGGGTTGTTGCCTCATCTTTTATAGAGAGACACAAAAAGCCAGGAAGCAGGATTTTTGTGTCCTCAAAAGTCTGCCTCACTGGGTCAGGTCCTAACTTCTCTTTCATCTCTCTTCCTGCCTTTCAACCCTGTCCCCTCCCTGCAACCCTCAGGGTACAGCCTGTTCCTTGTGGCAGCCCATGAGTTTGGCCACGCCATGGGGCTGGAGCACTCCAAGGACCCTGGAGCTCTGATGGCGCCCATTTACACCTACACCAAGAACTTCCGCCTGTCCCAGGATGACATCAAGGGCATTCAGGAGCTCTATGGTAAACCTCAGAGGGGGCTGGGGGTGGTAATGTAGCCTGGGATGGAGGCCAGGGGGTGGGACCAGCAAGATCTCATCCAGCCAGGACTGCTGGAGATGAGGGCAGGAAGCAGGAGTGTTGACCTAGTCCCGGAAAGTCAGAGCAGCTCTCCAAAGGAGATACTCAGCTAACCCTTCCCTATCCAAACAATGCTAATGTCAGTGTCCCTCTTGGCTCTCCATTTCTGGGTCTCTCCCATTTTCTAGGTGAATAAAGTCACCTGGTGCGAGGTTACACAGGTTTGAGCAACCCAGTGGGGTTCAGAATCCAGGAGAGTTGCCAAGTACAGGACAGAATTTTCTATCATATGGAATGACCTTAACAATGTGGGGGTGGAAGTTTCTAGTTTTCATAATAAGCTTTGATTTTAGTATGTAATAGAAGCAGAACAACCAGTGCCTTAAGCCAATGATTTATTTATTGTTAGTGCTTACAGTGTGGCTAGAGTTTAAAAAGTCAGTCCATTTTAAAAATAAATTAAATATTTAATGGTCCTGGTGATATCTGAGCAAGGCCAAAATAGTGAAAATGGTGCTTGAGTGACGATGTTTGGGAACTGCTAGACTCAGGAAAGAGCCCAGGGTCTGCTGTGAGAAGCGCTGGGTTCAAGTGTGGCCTCTGCCCCTCACCAGCTGCAAATCGACTTTGGACTCAATTTCCTCATCTCTGAAATGATCGCTTATCACGAAAAGTGCCACACTCTCAATGCTGGACAAATCAGTGGTCCCCTGACTGCCCTGGCTCTTGTGGGTGTAAGAATCTGAGCTTTGGGTTTGAAAGTTTGGGGAAGCCGCTCAACTCTTCTAGACCTCAGTTTCCTCACCTGTGAAATGGTGCAATAATGATACCCCACTCCCAGGGATATAGAGAGGACTGATTTGGGTGATGTCAGTAAAAAGCATATGTGAAGTTCAAAGGGCCCCGGAGCGCCCCAAGTCTAGACATCTTCTTGTTATCTTTCGGAGCTTACACTAAGGCCAGAAGACTATTTCTTCTGATGCTTAGCAGGTTGGCTGGGCACCCCGGGGGGGCTCAGCCTGGTGGGGAGAGCCTTTGCAGCTGCGGAGAGTCTAAGGTCAGGTGCCCTCCCCAGGGGTCTCTCCTGACATTGACCTTGGCACCGGCCCCACCCCCACGCTGGGACCTGTCACTCCTGAGATCTGCACACAGGACATTGTTTTTGATGGCATTGCTCAGATCCGTGGTGAGATCTTCTTCTTCAAGGACCGGTGAGTGCAGGAGCTTGCTCCTTGTCCTCCTTGTCTCCTGTCCTCTGCTCCTATACCATTATTCTTTTCCATCCGTCTTTGCCGAAGAAACCACCAAGTGCTTCACAGAATGACCTGTATTCGGCAGTTTCTGCTATGTGTCAGACAACCTCCAGGTTTCAGCGGATTTGCACCCAAGTATTTTGTTTGTTCTCTCATAGTCTGCGGGTCTACTAGGTGTCTTGGCTTCCAGGTACAAGTTGGATTCAGGTATGCTCTGCCTGTTGTTCTCATGGGAGTAGCAGCTACTCATGGCAGATGACAGGGTGCAAGAGGCCAAACTGAACTACACAAGCACATTTAAAGCATTCACACACGTCTTGTCTGAGAATATTCCACTGCCTGAAATAAATCACACGGCCAATCCCAACACCTAATCTAGAGGGTCGTACTACAAAGTCACATGGAAATACACATGAATGCATAATTCTAAAATAGGAATGGAGGGAAGAATTGGGAACAATAATTCAGCCTACCACAGGCCTTCTTCTAGAATGGCATTGACCTCAAATGGCCAAATTGCCCTGTGTATGGGTGGTGAGTGCCCGAAGGGTAGAAAGAGGTGGTATTCTTCATGCTGTAGATAAAGATCACCACTCAGTTGACTAAAGGCTGAGGTTTACCCTGATGCCCTAGTTCCCTGGAGAATGGCAGGCAGTGTCTAGGACTCATTAAAGGGTCTATCCTTCTATTCTTCTATCATCCATCCATCCATCTACCCATCCATCCATCCATCCATCCATCCATCCATCCCCATATCTTTCCATCCATCATCCAGCCAGCCAGTCAGCTATTATTCCATTATTTATGATCCAACCATCCATTATTCATTATTCATCCATTCATTCATTCATAGAGTGTAGTAGTTGAGAAAATCGACTGAAACCAGATTGTCTGGGTTAGAATTGTTTACCTGCGACTTACTGTTTATATAATCATAGGCAAGTTAATTAAGTATCTTCTTTGTGCCTTGGTTTCCTCACTTAGAAAATAGGGCTAATATTCCAACATATCTCATAGGGCTATTTTAAGGATTAGATGAACTTAGTGCTGAGAACAAAGACAATGCCTGACACGGAGACACAGAGTATTCATATTAGCTATTATTATTGACACATAGTTATTTGGCATCTACTGTGCCATATACTTTGCTGGGCTTTAGTAGCTGGAAGAGGAAGAATAATGTTACTGGGGCAGTGAAGTGGGGGACTGCTTAATATCTAGATCAGTGTTCTCAAAAACAGGCAAATGAGCTTGCTAAAACAGAGCCACCTAGAGTGTGCTAGAAGGTGAGTATTAAAAGGTGGGTTCCTGCCCCAGCTTTAGACCCTCCTAACTGGAATCTCCGGGGATAAGCCCCAGGAATATGCATTTTAGCAAATTCCCCTGGTGATTCTGATGCACATTAAAGTTTGTGCATCACAAGTCCAGTTTGAGAAATAGGCACAGAGAACTGACATGGCAGGATGAAAGAAAAGTGATCACGGAGACATTAGGTGCTTTTGTGGGCACATCCCAGTCATGGAAGGCTTCACAGATGCGGTAGCATTTGAGCAGAGCCTTTAATGGAGAAGCAAGAATCTGATGGGGGTGACAAGTTAGGAGGATCTTTGAGATCTTGGAGGGATCTGCAGAGCCAAACCATAGAGATGTGAAGTTTCTGGGTGAGCCTGGGAGAGTCTGGTGAGGCTAGAAGATGTTCCACAAACTTTCAGGAAGGGTTTCCTCTACTCTAGGCACTGGGCCAGATTCTGGAATGCGGATGCCCTGCCCTTCACAGGGTCTGCTGGCCAGTGGGGAGATGACAAGAATACAATAAGAGACGAGACTTAGAATGCAGAGAAATCAGGTCCCATCAGGCTTCAAATCCCCAAACCAGGGTACATAATAGCGGATGTCAGTGCTGCTCTGCAGTCCTCACTGTAAGGATCTGGCATCGTCCTTCATCTGGAGCTCCTCCCACTAAGAAAGCCCTGACACACACAGATCTCAGATGTGTGGCACCTAGGAAAGGATGCAGAGTCTAGAACCAGGCTGGAGCCACCCCTGGCCTGCTACACCACAGTTTCTTTCAAAAGGAACTTGATGAGTGTTTAATGCGCTTATTTGATTAACCAGTAAATATTAAGCATCAACCACAAGCAAAAATTGTTGCTAGGTGCTGGTGAGGGTGGGGGTCATGAAGGACAGTATTTCAGGGTGATTAAACTCAGATTTTGGAGTCAGATCTGGACTTGAACCTTAGTAATACCTCATTTACTTAGTTGTTGATGTAGTAATAACTAGGTAATTGAATCTCAACCTCTCTGAGCTTCATTTGCCAAAAAAACAATTGTGACACCTTCCCATGCTAGGATGTTTTGCTGCAAATAGCAGAGATGACCCCTCTGCAAACTCACTCCAGCCTCAACAGTGGAGAGAAAGTGCTTTCACATGGTACAAAGTCCAGGGCTAGAGCTGCCCGCGGGGACACAGAGAGGATCATTGACTTGATAGCTTTGTCCACTGCCAGCCTCTGCACTGACTTCATCCTAAGTCTGGTCCCTCCTCATGGTCACAAGAAGGCTCCTAGTGGCAACTGGGGCTCTAATCCCTGACCCCTCCCAGCAAGTGAGAGAGAAAGTGACACCCACAGATACACACACAGAGACCCCTAGATGTGAAATACAAGTGAATGTGTTCCGTCTTACACCACTGTAAGTCATATTGCAACTGCTGAATCCGTAACGAGGCCAGGGAATGCTGAACTCTGATTGCCTTAGACCAGTAGTTCTTAAACTTTGACATGCATTAGAATCATCTAGAAGCCTTGTTAAAACACAGATTCTGGGCCCCAGGCCCAGAGATTTTTATCTGTAGATCTCTGGAAGGACCCAATCATTTGCATTTCTAATGAGTTCTCATGTGAAGCTGGTGGGGAGACTGCACTTTGAGATACTGATTGGGCTTGGACCAATCAGTATCTACTACTAGAATAGGGATTGGGGACACAGGGTCTGGGGAGGTGAAAGCTGGATCACAAATGTGGGAGTTTTATGAGGAAGGATGGTGGGGAAATAGATAATTCATGCTAAGTAGACCATCCAGAGTGCCTTCTATCTTTTAAGATTGTGAGGATTAAATTACAAGGCACATAAAGCGCATGGCACTTAGTAGGACCTTAATAAATGACAACTCTTACTCTTGACAAAGTACACAAATTCATTTCATTTTAATTCAGGAAATACTTGAGTGTCATCAGCTCCTGCCCCAATTGACTTCTAATTAAATAGGAGAGAGAAGACAAACAGACACTACTGTTCCAGGCACTCAGTTGATGAGTTTGAGAGGCTTAGAGGAGGGAAAACACAGTAGGGACAGAGGTAGTCAGGGAAGGCTTCCTGGAGGAGGCAGAGGGAGAGAACAAGGTGAGCGAATGTTTCTCAGCTCCGGCAGATTGCAGACAGAATCTCTGCCTGTTCTCCAGTCTTTCTCCAACCTTCCTTTAATCTTGCCTCCCACTCCCATCATGGAATCATCTCTGGAATGTTTCTGGGTGGGTTTCGGGGGGATGTGTGTGGTTCAAGCTGCAGGGTGACTAAAGATGTGGTTTCCTGTGTCCCCCTGCCCTCCCCCCAGATTCATTTGGCGGACTGTGACACCGCGTGACAAGCCCACGGGGCCCCTGCTGGTGGCCACATTCTGGCCTGACCTCCCGGAAAAGATTGATGCGGTATACGAGGCCCCACAGGAAGAGAAAACTGTGTTCTTTGCAGGTGTGTGGGAAGCATCCTTCCTTGGCCCTCAGCTCCCCAGGGCTCTGCGCCAGGGCTCCTGCATGGTCCAGGCTCACTCCCTCTCCCAAACCACAGTTCCTATGCACCCGTGGGCACTCCCTCTCCTTTATGGATTCCTTCTTTCAACATCATTTCCTAAAGCGTGCAACTCATCTGGGAGATTGGTTCCAACACCTGACATCAGATAGCATTAACCCACAGAGTACAATTTTCATTTTACCTTAATTCTTTTCAATCGTTTTCGTTTTTGTTCTAGAAGGAAAAAAGTCTCCGTTTAGTGCTGGTGTGTCCCTAACACCTTTGTAGTGCTACAGCCTTTGGCAGGTAGCAGTTTTAGTTAGAAATTTTTTTTAAAGATTTGTTTTTATTTTTACTTTTAAACATAAATTTATTTTAACAGAGGTAGTTAGTTACAATAGGGTGGAGTTCCAAATCAGGACAGAAACGAATTGCTCAGTCACTGATATTTCAACAGCCATAAAACGTTTTTTAATAAACTTGTTTTTAAAGATTTCAAAATGAATTCACTGAAAGCAGAATGTTAAGTAAATAATAGTACAAGGAACCCCTAGAAGTGGCAGAAATCATCAAGGTGAGGTCTGTATGGCTGAGGCCTGGGAAGCTCTGCTCATGTAATGTTTATTGGAGCATTTCCATGCGCTGGTCTTTGCCAGACCCTGGGGATACAGTCTCTGCCCTCACGTTGCTCACAAACTACTCAGGGAGACAGATAGCTGGGCCGCCATGAGAGGGTAAAGGAGGTCCCTGCCCTGGTCTGAGGTGGGATCCTAGAGAAGATAAAGGCTCAGCCAAGACTGCGGGTAATTACTGTCCCCACCACCAGGCTCCCATCTCCACCCCACTGTAATCATGGGTCCTCACCAGGACAACTGCTGGCTCCTAGGGCATCTTTTTGCAAATTAGCAAGAGGTACCTCTTCATAGCAGGCACGGCCCTCAGGGTGCAAGACTTGGTGAGCAGAGTGTGAGCTGGATTTATTCCCCAACTCGCGTCCTTGGCCAGGCACCTCCTGTAATTGACTTCCAAAGCCCTCTGTGCGAGCCCTGACTCTGGGCAGTGCACCCAGGAGTGAGCGGGAAGCTGTACTCTGCTGAGAATGGCCACAGCGGGCCCGTTGACAGGCAGATGATGGGAGGAACAGGCTGGCCTAGGGCATGTCAGCACCAGCCAACATACCCTTTATTTCCACCCCAGGGAATGAATACTGGATCTACTCAGCCAGCACCCTGGAGCGAGGGTATCCCAAGCCACTGACCAGCTTGGGACTGCCCCCTGATGTCCAGAAAGTGGATGCCGCCTTTAACTGGAGCAAGAACAAGAAGACATACATCTTTGCTGGAGACAAATTCTGGAGGTAAGGGAGGGTCATGGGTAGGACAGCAGCACAGCTGGCTGTGGGAGACAGAGAAGATGCTCGAGTTCAGAGGTCAGAGGGCCCTGGATACCCTCTCTCTGGTCTTTCACCTCTTTGGTTGCTAGTCCCTCTGAAATGTTGCCAAAGGTGAACCATTCTTGTACATGTTGCTGATGGAATTCTGGTTGGAATATCCTTTCCCTTTGCAGAATTCTTTTTTTTTTTTTTTCAGACAGTCTTACTCTGTCGCCAGGCTGGAGTACAGTGGCTCAATCTCGGCTCACTGCAACCTCTACCTCCCAGGTTCAAGCAATTCTCCTGCCTCAGCCTCCTGAGTAGCTGGGACTAGAGGCACGTGCCACGACATCTGGCTAGTTTTTTGTATTTTAGTAGAGACGGGGTTTTACCATGTTGGCCAGGATGGTCTCGATCTCCTGACCTTCTGATCTACCCGCCTTGGCCTCCTAAAGTGCTGGGAACTCAGGTGTGTTCTGTGCCTGGTGTGTTCCATGCCCGGTCCCTTTGCAGAATTCTTTTGATTGGCCCGTGTCTGGTCTGCAGCTCCACGTTTTGAAGTGACTCACTGAAAGGGATAATTAAAAAAAAAAAAAGATAATAACTGCTCCTACTGACACTATGTGCCAGAGACTGTCCCAAGGGCTCTATGAGGTGGCAATTATTATCTCTCCCATTTTACAGATGAGGAAACTTGGATTCAGAAAGGTTAGGCAACTGTGGCTGGGTGCAGTGGCTCACACCTGTAATCCCAGCACTTGGGAAGGCTGAGATGGGTGGAACACTTGAGGTCAGGAGTTCCAGACCAGCCTGGCCAACATGGTGAAACCCCGTCTCTACTAAAAATACAAAAAATTAGCTGGGCATGGTGGTGCATGCCTGAAATCCCAGCTACTCGGGAGGCTGAGGCACGGGAATCCCATGAATCCAGAAGACAAAGGTTGCGGTGAACCAAGATCATGCCACTGCACTCCAGCCCAGGCAAGAGGCTGAGACTCTGTCTCAAAAAAAAAAAAACAAAAAACAAAGAAAGGTTAAGTAACCAGCTTAGAGTCACGTAGCCAAGTAGGGACAGGTTGGGATTTGAACCCTGGCATTCTGTCTCCTGGGAAAACATGTTAGTCTTCACTTCTATTCTATACCTGGGAAGTGGGGTTTGAAGAGATGGGGAACATGATGGCAGAGGGCAGAATATGAAGAAGATTTAGAGATAGGGGTACACCACCCATCCATAGAAGCCAGCATCCAAATCAGACCCCTTGGAAGGAACAGACACCCTGTGGCATAGCCCACAGCTGGCTCAGAGGCTGTGGGTATAGGATGGCAGGGGATCAGTTTGGAAGCAGGTGGTTCTGTGCTCCAGGTTATCTACAGGGAAGGGTCCAGTTCTGAGAGGCCATGATCATGGCCAGGGAACCCAATATCCAGGAGTGGCTGGTGAGAGGTAGCCCAAACCTCAGGAGTTTGACTGTCATTCTTCACTTTCTAGAAAGGAAACAAAGGTCAAAAGAAATTAAATAACTTGTCCAAGCTATTGAGATATGTGTGTTTGCCCAAAGCCAGGATTATAGCTACTTCTCTTGTATTCCAACCGAGTGCCCCCTTCACTATACCTGCTGGGCCATTTGATTAGTGTGGAAAGAGTGGTTGGGGCACAAAGACTTGTGAGGTGTCTTTTCATCCCCTCCCTCTTGGTGTCCCCACATTCTTTCTGTGGCTGCCACTGCTTCTGGCCCTTATCCAAGAATTTTAGAGGGTGCTCGCTGAGGCCTTTGTCTGCCATCCCCAAAGCAATCCCACTTACTTCCCAAGACCTCTGTCTTTTCCCCCTTCCCTCCTCCCCACTACCCTGCCCCCCAGCTGCCCTGTATTCAGAAGCTCTTTATAACCTAGGCCTGCCCATGTCAGGGCGGAATTCCAGACGTATTGCTAAGACACTTAGCAACCTAAGCTGATTGATATCTCAAGCCTCAAGAAAGAAAACAGTCAGGCAGGAAACTGCAGAGCGAGCTTTCCACCCACAGGCTCCAGACACACACACACACACACACACACACACACACACACACGTATCCAGGTTGTGGCCGTGCCTTGCTGGGCTTCCAGGCAGAGTTATTTGCCTCCCAGTCCTTTTCCACACAAGTCCACCTCCCAAAGCCAGAGGCAGGACAGACAGCCTGCTCTACAGAGGAACCACCCTGAGACTTCCTCAAAAGGGACAGAGCTGAGGGGCCAATCAGAAACTTTGGTCTGGCTTCCAAAGAAGGCGGATCTTTCTCCCAAGAGAAGTAGTGAATGAGCTTGTGACACTGGCCCCTGCCATAGAGTCTGCAGAGGCCTCAGAGGCATCTTTGCTGGAAAAGGAAAAAGAGCCTCAGAGCGACAGAGACCAAGCAGCTGTCTTTAGCATGCCAAGAAAGCTCAGCGCCTGCTTGTAGAAGCTTCCACTAAGCCACAAATACATGTTCAACATGTGCTGTGTGCCAGACACTTAGCTAGGTGCTGGAGAGACAGGGTCAAGAAAGCATCACACCCTGCCCTCATGTCGTTTGTAGTAGAATGAGGAAAAATTACATCAATATATTTGAATCAGATAATGAAGGCCGTCAGTATGGGACCTCTACCAGAGCCCAGCCTACGGCTATGCGTGTCATGTATTTTTCAGTTAAGGGAGATACTGTTATTAGCTCTTTTTCCCAAGTGTGGAAACTGAGGCTGAAGTGGCTCAAGGAAAAGCTGGGACCCAAATGTCTGTTCTTAATACCTGCTCCACATGGGAACTTCTACAGCTGCAGAGAAGTACCAGAGTGTTACAGAGAAACCTTTATAACCAGTGTACACCAGTGAGTGGAAACCACGATTCAAAGAGCTGATGGGGACAGAGAGGAAAGTGAAGAGAAACGGTCCCCTTCAGAGAGAACATCTTCTGATACCACAGTGCTTGTATTCTTTCTGGATGAAAAGAACTTGGAAGCACAATAATTATCTGAGCCTTAGTTTTCTCATCTGGAAAATGGGCTTGACTTCTGTCATCCCCATCTCATTCTGTGGGTAGAATGAGAAAGAAATGAGGGCCAGTTGAAGCATGGGACACGTATCTCCAAACCATCCTAATGCTAGGGAATGTCGTTTGAGGGCTCAGTGGAGGTGGCTCGAATGGGATTGTTGGGATTTTTGAGCTAGGCTACTTGGTTTTGGTGACCCAGGGCATGAGGCAGCATGCTGGGTTTTGTAAGAATGAGTTTTATGCTGCAGCTGGGATTAAATAAGGCTTTTTTGGCAGTTCTTGGGGGTGACAGCTGAGGGAGAAGGCCACTCTAGAAGGCAGCTGCTGTTGCAGTCCAGGATGAAGGTGGTCAGGGCTGGCTGCAGAGAGGAGGAGAGCTGGCTAGAAGGTGCTGTGGAGCAAAGGGTGGCTGCTACCAGGCTGGGGTTCAAACACATCCATCTAGAAACAGCTCTGCTTAGGCAAGACTTAATCTTGTTTACTGGGGTATCCATAGCTCCCAGAGTGGGAGCTCAGTAAATATTTACGGAATAATGAAGTGGGAAGCAAAGGAGTCAGCATGGCAGCCGCATCTAAAAAGCCCTCCAAGCATCTTAAAGAACAGAAGGGTTGCTAGCCAGGGAGAAGAACATACCAATTGATGCCGCGGTATTTACCTGAATTAAAGGCGGGGCCCAGCATTGCTGCAACCGGAACTGAGGTGACATGTGGTGGTCCACCCTGTGACTAACAGGCCTCGGACTCACACGTAGCACCTTGCATTGTAACCTCACTGCCCCAGCCATGACTATCTTCCAGGGCAGAGATTGTCATCTTCCCTTGACAGATGGAGAAGCAGCAATTTTTCCAAGCTGCAAAGTGAAAGAATGATGGTGCAGGTTCCTATCCCTGGGCTTCTAGTTTAGTGCTCCTCAGATTATAGCAGGAATTTGTTTGTAAGGGGCTAACATTTCTTAAATACCTACTAAATATTTATGAGATATGGGGATAGAGACTCTGCATGTGCTACTTTATTTAATGCATACATTACATTAAATATGCTAAATTAGACACAACCCCATTTTACAGCTGGTAAAACTGAGGATGTATAGAAAGTGGTTAACAAACTGTTTGGCATGTAGTAGGTGCCGTATAAATGTCAGAGATTATTTTTATGGGATCATCCAAAGTCATATATAATTAAAAGTAGGAGATTTGGGGCTCAGACTCAGATCTGATTCCATGCCTTTCCACTGCAGCCATCTGCTTCCCTGAAGGGTTCAGTCTCCCTGGCCTATCCAGGAGTCATCTCCTGTGTGCGCCCATCCAGGCTGGGAGAGAAGTGGCCTTTAGAGAGGCCCTGCTGGTTCACCGTATCTGTTTCTTTACAGATACAATGAAGTGAAGAAGAAAATGGATCCTGGCTTCCCCAAGCTCATCGCGGATGCCTGGAATGCCATTCCCGATAACCTAGATGCCGTCGTGGACCTGCAGGGTAGCGGTGAGCAACCCAGGACTGTCTCCGCTTTCTAGGACTCCCCACCCCTAGCCAGGGAGCTCCTTGTAAACACACACTTCTTCATTGTGCAGGGCAGGCAGGCAGGCGGCACCATGGAAAACAAATCAACTCCTTCATTCCAGTGCTGGGAAGGCATCCAGATCCCTAACCTCTGCTCCTTGGCCTGGCTCCAGGCAGTGAGACCCAGAAAGGCTTCTCACAGCTGTAGGGCCTGGAGCCAGGGCAAGGGAGGGCGTAAGGCCTGGGCTGGTGGAGGGGGAAGGAACATGGGCTGCATGCCATGGATTCATTCTGGGGTTTGATTCAGGCCCTTTTGGGTTTCGCAGGAGGCCTGTGACCACCTCCCATTAGCAGAAGGATGGTTCCATTTGAGACAAGGCAAACTTTGTCATGCTCTGTTGCTCATGTGGCAAAGATCTCCCACTCAACCAGTTTGCCCCTGGCCCTTTGCTGATTAAAACACAACCAGTAGCAGCGAGGGATAGAATTTGGAGTTCAAAAATCATACTCTTGAGAAAGCATCTGTGAGTTTTCTAGGGTCCTGGAAATGGATCCAGTTTGGCTTTTTTAGAGGAGATTGTAACTAAATTCCACAGAATTTGTTTTTGAGCACCAACTGTGCGCTAAGCACAGGGCCCCGACCTCCAGTAGCTGAAGGTCTTACATGTCCAAGAAAAAGCAGTGTATAATCAGATGCTAGATTAGGGATTATCTTTAAGAATAAACATCTATTGAGTACCTACTATGTACTGGCATTTTAATAGTAAATGAGATTGTGTATGTCAGGAGTCACAAATTTCAGTAGCTCCCTAGGCCAGGCAGGTAGTACAAATGAGTAAAGCAGGCAGGGCACACAGTGGGGAATGGTGGTGTCCACGTTGAATCAGAGAGCACATGCCTCATTTACAGGAGACAGTTGCTTCTCACCTTCTGATAATTATTGGTGGACAAGATGAGGGGCCTAGGCCGGGTGCTGTGGTTCACACCTGTGATCCCAACACTCTGGGAGGCCAAGGCAGGAAAATTGCTTGAGCCCAGTAGTTTGAGACCAGCGTGGGCAACATAGTAAGACTCTACCTCTACAAAAAAATTTTTAAGAACATTAGCTACACATGACGACACACACATGTAGTCCAAGCTACTGGGGAGATCAAGCAGAAAGGATTCCTTGAGCCCAGGAGTTTGAGGCTGCAGCAAGCCGTGTTTGCACCACTACACTTCAGCCTGGACGACAGAGCAAAACCCAGTCTCCAAAAGTAAAAAACAAGAATGGGGGGCCTGGTGTTGACAGATATTCAGATTTAAAGACAAAACAAAACAAAAAAACTTGTGAGAGCCAAATAAAACCCATCTGTGGGCCTGATAGGACTGGACGCATCCTGTTTTGCCACCTCTGGTATATGGAAAGTGCTTAGTTGGACGCTTGTGTTAAGTGGGGTTATTGTTTTTAATAATAGCATATGTTATCTGATTTAATCCTCACTGCAAGCACTAGGAGGTTGGTATCTTTATCCTCATCTTAGAGATGAGCAAACAGGGAATAAGAGAGCTTATTTCACAGCCATTTCCCGTCTTCCAGTCCCAGTGGGGGCTCTTCTGGATTTTAGTTGTGTTTTATTTTTGTTTTTGTTTTCTTTTCTTCAATCAGCTCAGGTTGAAACAATTGAATTTTTTTTTTTTTTTTTTTAAGAGACAAGGTCTTGCTCTGTCGCCAAGCTAAGAGGCACAATCATGGCTCACTGCAGCCTCCAACTCTTGGGCTTAAATGACCCTCCCATCTCAGCCTCTGGACTACAGAAATGCACAACTATACCCAGCTAATTTTTAAATTTTTTTCTTTTTTGGTAGAGACGGGGGTCTCTCTATGCTGCCCAGGCTGGTCTTGAACTCCTTGGCTCAAGCAATCCCCCTGCCTTAGCTTTTCAAAGCTCTCTTCTGGTTTAAAAGCTTCTTCCCTATGCCAGGCAGAAATTCAAGCTCCCAGGAGCCTTCTTTGTGCCAGAATGTCAGGATAAGGTGGTCACAGTCTCTTCTTTCTCTGTCCCAGGTCACAGCTACTTCTTCAAGGGTGCCTATTACCTGAAGCTGGAGAACCAAAGTCTGAAGAGCGTGAAGTTTGGAAGCATCAAATCCGACTGGCTAGGCTGCTGAGCTGGCCCTGGCTCTCACAGGCCCTTCCTCTCCACTCCCTTCCATACACCGGGCCTGGAGCACTAGAGAAGGACCCGGAGGGGCCTGGCAGCTGTGCCTTCCACTCTACAGCTAATCAGCATTCTCGCTCCTACCTGGTAATTTAAGATTCCAGAGAATGGCTCCTCCCTGTGCCCAAGGATAGGTGCTGATTGTACCCCTCCCAGGCACCCCTTCCCCTTCCACTCCCAACAACCCTCAGAGCCACCCCTGACAAGATACTTTGATATTTTCAATGCAGCTCTGCTTTGGGCTGCCCTGGTGCTGCCACACTTCAGACTCTTCTCCCTCCACAACCTTCTGTGGCTCACAGCACCCTTGGAGCCAACAGAGACTGTCTCAAGGGGGCACTGGTGGCCCGACAGCCTGGAATAGGGCAGTGGGATGGGGGCATGGCGAGGTGACCACTCCAGACCCCTGGCCTTTCACTGCTGGCTGCCTTAGAACCTTTCTTACATTAGTAGTTTGCTTTCTCTGCATTTTGTTTTCTTTTGGTCTTGTTGTTTTTTTTTCCCCCCCCCACTTAGAAATTGCATTTCCTGACAGAAGGACTCAGGTTGTCTGAAGTCACTGCACGGTACATCTCAGCCCACATAGTGATGGTTCCTCTGTTCACTCTATTTAGCATGTCCCTACGCAGTCTCTTCCTCCACTGGCTGGAGGAAAACCAAGTGGTGGCTTCCTGTTCAGCCCTCCCCACCCCTCCCTTCAACCGTTCCCCATGGGAAATGCCAACAAGCATGAATAAAGACACCAATTGAGTGGCTGTGTTTGCCATCTGTTTTAGCGGAGCCTAGGCACGGGCCACAGACCCAGCCAGAAGCAGAAACTTAAGAAGTCCAAATCCCTGGTCCCGGCAGGGAACAGGTGATGATGTCTGCTGGAAAGGTCAGCGCTTCCAAAGTAAACAGCAAGAGAATCTCAGGGAGAATAAGCCCAAGTCCCTCTGTCCTGTTGAAAGAGCCCCGAAGAAACAGCAATTCTGTTGCATTATTGCGGGGTCTGTTCAAGGTTTGCTTCCTCTGTAAGTCTCAGTTTCTTCACTAGCAATCATTTCAGTTCTAATGCTGCTACTAATCACAATAAACAGCAACGATAATATCCCCTTCCATTAATATGCTTTCTACGTGCAAAGCACTTCTCAAGCGTCACTTAATCGAACCTTTCCTACCCCCTAAATAGAGAGAGGCTATTATTGATTGAATCTTATTGATGAAGAGACCGATGGCTCAAGAGAAGTGATTTTTCCAGGGTCCCATAGCTATTATGGACCTGCAAGGCCAAAGGATAGCCTAGCAGAGGAGCTTTAGCCCTCAAACTAACCCTCCACCACCCCCAAAACCACCCTGGGTAAACACAGCTAGGGGAGAAATAATGTGCTTGCTTCTAAACACAGCTGGTGTTAATGGATAAGCTCCTTACTCCTTCATACCAGTTTACCCACCCCTAACCTCCTATATAGAAATTCTAGAGCTACTGCCGAACAGAAATTTAAAGCCTGGGGATTTTCTGAGGCCCTTTCTGGCTCTGATAGTCAGATTAGTGTATTGCTTCTGGCTTCTGATGATGGGCCTGGTGAGGAAGGTGGGTAAGGAGTGAACTCTACAGGTGACCTCCTCAGTGGTCCTGATGTCATCTTTTCTATCATTTATCCTCCCATGGCCTGCCCCCTAGCTCAGATTCTTTTTGTTTTGTTTTGTTTTTCTTTTTTGAGACAGTGTCTTGCTCTGTCATCCAGGCTGGAGTGCAATGGCATAGTCATAGCTCACTGCAGCCTCGATCTTCTGGGCTCAAGCTATCCTTAGCTGGGACTGCAGTCATGCAACAGCACAGCCAGCTAATTTTTTCTTTCTTTCTTTTTTTTTCTTTTTTTAAGAGACAGGGGTCTCACTTTGTTGCCCAGGCTGATCTCAAACTCCTGGACTCAAGGGATCCACCCTCTTCAGACCCCAAAGTGCTAGGATTACAGGCATGAGCCGCCACCCATGGCCTGGCTTAGGTTGTTGATAGGTAGAAAGACATCCTTCTGTGCAGGTATCTGGCTAAAGAGCCTCAAGGGTCTGCCAGTCCCAACTTGAAGGCTCCCTAGACTGGGGAATCTTCCATCATGGCTATAATACACTGTTGTTAATGTTTCCTATTATATCAAGAGAAGATTCAGTGGCTCCATGACATGATAATGCTGAAAACATACCGTTTCTTCAGTGTTCCTCTATGAACACTCGCATGCATTATTTTATTTAATCCTTGCTACGGTTCTATGGGGTTAGAATGAATCTCCCATTCCTAGACAAGGAAGCAAACTCAGGTTAAGTGACTGACTCAAGGCCACACATCTATGTGGTAGGGCTGGAAGATGCTGAGATTCAGAGGGTATGTTTGGAGAAGCCCAGGGCTCAGATTTTATCCTGGCCTGACTGCTGTGAGCAGAGTTGATCAGTAGGAGTGAGTTGATTATCATCTCCTTCCTTTAACTCTCAGCCACTCAGGGCTTGATCAACTGGCTTCAGGTAATGGGACAACAACCCCTGCCCTCCCACCCCAACAAAGACCCAGATAGGTCGAAACAGGCCTTGAACTTCCTCAGTATGAAATGGAGTCACAGCCCAAGGCATTTCCCTTTTCTGGGTCAGGTTCCTCATCTAGCATGGAGGAAAACTGTAATTTTTCCCTTTTCTAGAAATAGCAGCTCAGTTTTCCTCTGGAGAACCATCTCTCTCCTGTCAGTCCATTATGTTTTGAGTGAGACAAATTCCACTCCTAGTGCCATCATGGGTGTCTTAATATTAGTTCATTTAATGGAACAGCCCAGGGGAAGTTCTTGCTCCTGGCATTACTGGAATCAGGTTCTGATTATCTGAGAATGCATTTCTCCATTTTACAGAAGGCAACTGAGGTTCATGGAGATAGTGATTTGGCCAACGTCACAGGCCCAGTAAAAGGGATTAAAAATCCAGGTCTGCCTGATCCTAAACAGGAAATTCTGCCTAGTGTCTCGCTGTGGCTTGTTAGGGATCCTGGGGTACCCTTCAGGATCTTAGCTCTGAAGGAAAAGCATTCCTCTCCGAGGGGACGGCCTATATTACCAAGGGGGTGTGGCCAGATGCCTGAGGGGGTGTGGCCAGGGCCTGGGGCGGTCAGAGCCGAAAGGGCGGGGCGGCAGCAGCCGGCGTCTAGGTAACTTCAGCGCCTGCGCAGAGCCTCCCCAGCCCCGTCCTAGGCTGGGACTCTAGCGAGGCTTCGGCTCGGTTTTGACCGCACCGCCCGCGTAGGTCGCTTCGGTCGGGTTCCACGCCCGGCTTGACCATGAGCCGGTGCGCCCAGGCGGCGGCCGTGGCGGCCACAGTGCCAGGTGCCGGCGTCGGGAACGTGGGGATACGGCCGCCCATGGTGCCCCGTCAGGCGTCCTTCTTCCCGCCGCCGGTGCCAAACCCCTTCGTCCAGCAGACGCAGATCGGCTCCGCGAGGCGGGTCCAGGTGAGGGGCGTGGGTCTGACAGGGGAGGTGGTCTGAGGGGGACGCTGGTCTGAGTGGAGAGGTGGTCTGAGGGGGATCCAGGTGAGGGGCATGAGTCTGAGCGAGGAGGGCGGCCGAAGGGGGCGTGGGTCTGAGGGAGGAGGTGGTCTGAGGCAGGCGTGGGTCTGAGGAGGGAGGTGTTCTGAGGGGGCGTGGGTCTGAGCGGGGAGGTAGTCTGAGGGGAACCTGGGTCTGAGGCGGGTCCAGGTGAGGGGTGTAGGTCTGACGGGGGAGGGCTGTCGAGGGGCGCGTGGGTCTGGGAAGCAAAGGCATCTGAGGAAGAAAGAGCAGTGGATCTGAGAGGAGAGGACTTCTGAGGGGCCGTGAGCCTGAAAGGGGCAGAGATATGCGTCTGAGAATTGAGGACATTTGGAGGATGGTCAGAGCGGGCACAGGAGAGATGCTGCAGGGAAGATGTGGGCCTGAGAGGAGGATCCGAAACAGGAAGAGACTCAGCTGGCTGGTGGCGCAGGCTACATTCCATGCCCCCGAAGGGTGAAGAATCTGTGCATCTGTGACAGAAGCTTCAACTTGAGTTTGTGAGAGTGTTGTGGGAGGCAGATCTACCACGGAAGAGTAGGTTTGAAGAAGTCTTTTTTTTTTTTTTTTTTTTTTTTGCCTTAGGAAGGAGAGAAGTCAGTATGGGATGGGTAAGAGTGAGGCAGAAGGCAGAGCCCAGGTCTGGGATTAGAACAGCAGGTAAGGCTGTAATGATTTAGCTGAGCAGGAGCATACTGGAGGGTAGGAAGTCAGAATCAAAGGGACAACTGAGTCAGCTTAGGGTGTTTAAGATTTTTTGGTCCAGAATCAATCTTCACCTAAACACTTCTCCGAAACAGAAGCATGAGTAGTAGCCCAGACTGTTTTCCACTGCTCAAAATGACTATACTCTTATGCAGGAAGGAACTTTCCTTTCCTTTCCTTTTTCTTGTAAAGGGCTCCTTTTACCATTAGCAGTTGCACTCTTTGGACTTCCTCTTTGTTGAGGTTAGTGATCAGAGAACAAGATAGACCCTGCTTACCACATTTGTCCTGTATGTTCTGCAGGGGGAAAAAAATTTGAAGTTTTCATGTCCACCTCACACATTACTTAATGGATTTGAAGCAGTATAACATTTGCAGTCAGCTTGTATGCACTAAAACCATTGTCTTTTACAGTGTGGGAAGGTTAACTGTGGAGCTAAGCAACACAGGTGGTGGCTTGAGTAATGGGAGATGAGTGTCTGGTTGAAGAAGGGTGTGAGAGAGGAAGAAGATGAGGAATATAGTAATGCCATTTTGTAAGGAAATTAAACGTTTAAAAATGTGATCTTCATGTCTTTAAATGAATATTCTTTTTGTGTCTTGACATTCTGAAACGTGTAAATACATAGGTCATTGTTCAAGAGTAAATTTAGTCCAATTTAGTTAAATCATACTTAAAAATATACCCATCTATTTGACTTCATATTTTGGAGAGAGACTCAGAATAGCATGTTTACAAACATGTATATTGCACCTGGAATAAATTATTAAGTTTTTTCATCACCTGGATTGTTACTGCCTAAAGATCTCTTCCAAATAACTCTCTGAGAATTGTAGTAAAATGGAATGATAGCTAGTCAGTCATAGGACCTGATCATTTATTAGTTGTGTGACTTTGCCCAAGTCACTTAATCTCTTTGAACTATACTTTTCTCACCTATTAAATTGGAATATTAAGAATTCAAAGTAGGATTGGAATTAAGTGAAACAATATATGAAAGAATCTGGTATTGTTCACTGATCTTAATATTGATAATTACCCTATTATTTTCTGCAAAGTATAGACTGTACTTAAAATTTGCTGCTTGGATTAAATGGGCTTTAACAAAGTCTGGATACTAAATATACTTTTTAAATTTATATAGATCAGAGATACCAAAGAGGTTTTAATGACTTGAATAATCTGGGTAAAGGGAAGATTTAAATAGGCATGGTAGAAATACAATGTCTATATTATCCAGTTTAAAAGATTGGACATACTTTCATTTAAGTATGGCTTCGTATGATTAATTCAGACTAAATTTAATCTTAAATGATGATTGATGTCTTGCTTAAGGACTGTTGTCCTCACATTTCACTAAGAAAGTTAAACAAACAAGTACAAAAATATATATTCCCATGTTTAGTAACTGTAATGAAGGAAAACCAGAAAATAACACTGAGAGAAGGCCACCCAATGGAGATGACGTTATTACCAAAACAGAAATATGATGGGGAATCATCTTAATTTGTCAACAAGTTAACTCAAAATTGACTTATTATTAAGCACTATTATTTGTTGCAAACCTTGAGATGGCAGAGAAAAAAAAAGTTGTGTAATATTTGGCAACTTGTTCAATTAAAATCCATATTGGTTGCTCGTGGTAGACATGAGTGACTCTTATGCTAACATACTTGAATTTCATTCCAAGTCTTTCTTCAGTGTCTATGCTATATGGTCCTTTCTTTCAGTCAAGATTATTTCTTGGTCTTTTAATAATGATAACTCTTCAAAGAGAATCCCAGCTGTAACCTACCAGAGTGACTTGGGAATTTGAGTCACGGCATCTTCTCCACAGTACTATTCCCCAGTATACCACTATACTTCATTGCACCACCCATTCAAATAAATATAACGTTATCTAAAATAGTATGCTTATGATGTACACAGAGCTTCAAGAAAAATCTCCTGGATCCAAGATCCCTACTGTGTTACAGTTCTGAAACTCCTACCCATTTAATCTAACACATATTCTGTTTTATAAGAGATAAGACTGATAGCAAAGTTTCATTATATTTGTAAGTCAGTTTTCAAGTGAAGAATAATTTAAAAGGGCTAGTTTTAGTCTCAGGAATGATGGAGTAGCTTAATGTAGACAAACCTTTCCATGTATAACAATTAAAACCCTAGTCAAAATATGAAAAAAAAAAAACCACATGAAGGCACTATAGAGCAATACAAATCATACAGAAACTGGAGGGATTTGTTGCTTGAAATAATAGTGCTATAATATGTAACATTACTCTAACTTCTTTTTTCCCTGATGGTTATCACTTGACACCATGAGAAGGGATTCCTAGAAAGCCCCAGTCTTACTGGCCTGATGTATCAGAGCACAAAGTTCAGGACTATCAGAGTGGCTAAAAATTGAAGGAGGAAATCCCAGAAAGGAGGAAGCTAGAAATGAGGGAGCCCCTAAATTGGCATATAAATTCTCTCAAAACCTTGGCTGATCCCTGAACTGTGTATTTACAAAGGAGTCTTCAAAAGTATCAGCAGAAAGGAAGAAGGAATGTAATGCTGAAAGGAAGAAGGAAAATAATGCTTAAAGGAAGAAGCTGAGCAGACACTTCAACTGGTTAACACAACAGGGAAAGCACGTTTAGAATCCCACCAATTAAGAGGGCCCTTACATAAAGCAAACATTTCAGGCTTTACACTGAAACCTTACAAAGGTAATACCACAGGAGAAAAGCTCTACCCTAGGACTAAGGCTTCAGTCAAAGACTAAGGCATAGCTTCAAACCATTTTTTCCTTAAAAAGTATAAAACTATGCCTTCACAAGGTGAATGCAACCAGCCAGAATTTTACCTACTTGCTAGGACAGAAATCAATACTCTTTAGAAAAGGGTAACAGAATCCAAAATATCTGTAGTATATTATCCAAAATGGCCACTCTACTATAAAAACTATACTAGACATTCAAAGAAATAGGAAAGTGTGACCTATGATCAAAAGAAAAATCAGGCAATAAAAATAGACTCGAAGATGACCAAATGTAGTACTTTGCAGAAAAATACTTTAAAGTAGCTATTATAAAAATGCTCAAGGACTTAAAAGTAAAGAGTGGCATGATGAATGAATAGTTGAGGGGAGCTTTAGCAGAGAAATAGAAAATGTAAAAGAGAACCAAATGGGCATTCTAAAACTGAAAATTATTATATCTGAAATGGAAAATTAATTAGATGGGCTTAACAACACATTGGAGATGGTAGAAGAAAGCGTCAGTGAACTTAGGTCACTAGAAATTATTCAGTCTAAAAAGCAGAATGAAAAAAATTGAGACAAGACATCAGCAAAATTGGTGAAGTAAAGGCCTCTGAAAGTTATCTTCTCCATAAAAACAATGAAAATACAAAAAAATTATCAGAATCAGCTTTGTCATAGCTCTAAAAATTAACCAAAGGCTTTCAACAATCCAAGGAGCATTTATTTAAGAGTGCTGACTCTTGATAAGAATAGTAGGCTTTGGGACAGTTTTATTTTATTCTCATTCCTCATCCTCAGCTCTGTAGTAGCCTTTAGAAACCAACAGTCTGCAGTCATAATGAAAACCAGTAACCTGGCAACCACTAGAGGGGGAAGAATAGTGCTGGAGTTTCTTCAAAGCCTCATTCCCAAAGAATTGTCATTATTGGTCAGTCTGGTGGCTGCCTGGAAGGCCTCCTTTGCCAAACTGTCTTCATGTGATTTGTCTTGGTGCTTACACAGTGCAAATGGCCTTTTCTCAAGGGTGTTTGTCAAAAACAATCAGAGGTAAGTGAGTGCAGTGGTACACACCTGTAGTCTCAGCTATTCAGGAGACTGATGTGAGAGGATTTCTTGAGCCCAGAAATTCAAAGCCAGCCTAGGCAACGTAGAGAGACTCTGCTTCTTAAAAAATAAAAATAAAAAAATCAGAGGCAGTTGCTTAACATCACAGCTGCCTGAGGCAGCTGTTGGAGTAGCAGTTGGAGTAAATAGTAGGATAGCTAAAACCTTAAAAGAAAAAGCTAGGGGATGAGATGATCATAGGGGACTTTAAAAGCTTTGACATATTCCTAGGAATCTAGAAGGCTCTCCACATAAGTAAGGCTTTGTTCATGCTTGAGACTATGCACATGTCCTGAAAATATCTAAAAATACCCTAAGCTGTCACTTCTCACTAACCTTGAGGCTCTGTACTAGCAGAAAGCG